ATCTCCCCTCTTCTCAGCCAAAAATTCAGACCTGGTGATCATGTAGGAGGATACTACTCTTAGACTGTCAAACCTCCTTAATGAACAAGGTATATGTTGCTTTGTAATTTTATAATAACGGTCATAAAAGGATGATGAGGATAAGGAATAATTAAGTCCTCCATACACATCTGTTTGAGCGAGAGATCGGGCTTGCCCAGAGTCTATCCAGACGCGGGCTTGCCCAGAGTTCTCAAGTCAGGAAAAGACAATGAGAGAGAACCACATCAGCATTTATGCAAAAGAGCCTAGCTAATTCATCAGAAGGTGGATTAATTCTTACAACAAAAGACTAAGGGAGAACATAAGGAATCTGAGAAATGATTGGTTCAGAAAGTATGAGATCACTTTAGTAGTTCTTTGGCATTAAAAGATACATACTTACCTCAACAATCTGCTCTGTCTCCCAAAGACATACACCATTGAAAAAGTTTCCTATCTGCATGTTTGCAATATCTAACTCCAAAGCCCTTTGGTTTCCAATTCACATTTAAAACAGAGTCCAGCACTTTTTGCCTTAGGCAAGATACCTTCCACCTCCCTAACCCTACATTTACTTCTTTGCAGATTTAAAGTAACAATACCTGCCCTGCCCTGCCCTGCTCACCAGGGCTGCTGTGATAAACATGGGAATAGGCAAAAGCAGAGTGTACACTGGGAACTCTATACCTGTGAGCTACCATTATTCATGAGATTGATATCAACTTGCTTCATGGGGCATGTGGGTCCTACGTGTAGCCTATTTTTTTTTACTAAAGATGTAAATCTACATTTTAAAATACAATGGATATTCTAAAACATAGAGTCACTGTTACCTAACTGGAGTAAAAAAATATTTTAAAACCAGAGAAGAGCTACAGGCTCCAGATACACACACACACACACACACACACACACACACACATTTTATATATATATATATATATATATATATATATATATATATATATATATATATGAAAAAGTGACAACAGACCATTAATACAAATTATTTTACTCAAAAAAAGTTGCCTTTCTATATTGGCTCAAATTGAAAATTCTTTTCATCACAATTCTTTAAAATATTTGAAAATCCCTACAGATGAGGGAGCCTGGGTGGCTCAGCTGGTTAAACCTCAGACTCTTGATTTTGATTCAGGTCATGATCTCAGGGTCCTGGGGTAGAGCCTCACATTGTAGAGTCTGCTTATCCCTGTCTCTGCTCCTCCCCCTGCTCATGTGTGCACTCTCTCTCTCAAATAAGTAAAATCTGTTAAAAAATCAAATCAAATCAAATCTTTGCAGGTGAGATAAAATGTTCTTGGTCCTAGGCTATATCTGAACATTTTTCTTTTAATGTGATGAGTTTCTTTTATAATAAAAAATTTTCATCAATGAATTTCAGTCAAATTAATTTAGCATACATTTCTGAGTGTTTCTCTGCATTGAGCATTGCTAAGTACCACTGAAGAGAGGGAGATCAGGAAAACACTCCTTATTTTATAAGAACAGTACCATCGAGCAAGGAGACTAAGATAAGCACACAGATAACTATAGTATGATAAGGGTCATAAGGAAGATCTCTGGGGCACCTCAGTGGCTTCAGTGGTTGGGCACCTGCCTTTACATTGGGCTCCTGGGAGCCTGCTTCTCCCTCTGCCTGTGTTTCTGCTTCTCTCTCTCTGTCTCTCATGAATAAATAAAATCTTAAAAAAAAAAAAAGGAGGATATCTGGAAAGAGATAGCTACAGCCAGGGGAATTGAGAAAGGCTATAGAAAGAATTGGGAGAAGGAATGAGGGCAGATGGCTTTTGACTCTTAGGCAGAGAGAAGGATGAATTCAAGAGCAGGAAAGCAGGACAACAAGCAAGTCCGCAAGGGCTGTGCAGGTGTTCAACTGGGCTAACATAAGGGTAGGATATAAAGATTTTTGCCCCAGCATCAGTGCATGCTTTTTACTAAAAAGATACAATAAAGAATAATTTTTTGTTACTTTATACAGTTGAAAATAAGATGCTAACTCCTGGAAGAGGGAAAAAAAGAAGTGAATTTGGAGAAAGGTATAGATGAAACACAATTGGCCAAATGTTCATAATTGCTGAAGCTGGTGGTGTATACTCTCTACTTCTTTGTATGTCTGAAATTTTCCATTAAAATTAGCTAAAAAAGAGGGGCACCTGAGTGGCTTAGCTGGTTAAGTGTCTGACTTTTGATCTCAGCCCAGGTCTTGATCTCAGGGTTTTGAGTTCAAGCCCCACCCTACCCCCCCACCCCCAAGCTAAAAAAGAAACGAAGGCCACTCAATCTAGGAAGATGGTCAGCTGATAGCCTCTCAGGTAATGGCACTGATCCTATGAACTTTCTAACCTGTGGGTCAACTGGAGGGAGGAGGGGCTGAGGTTGGAGCCAACTCCACAGGGAAGGGGACAAGGCACAATGTGACTACGGTCTGTCAGCCTGCCCATTTTCGGTTCCCCATTGCCTCTTGCCCCATACTTATTTCTCTCCTTCCCACTGGGAGAAAGGGAGCACGCAGGGGTCTGCTGGGAGACAGGTCAGGAGTAACTGAGTCTAAGAGAAATGAAGGCAACTGGGTTGTCCCCCATGTACAAGTAACTGGGTGATTGTTTTCAGTCTTATCAAATTTAATAGGTGTTCAAATTTAGTGAGTCTATCAAATTTAATATGTGTTTAATACATGCTAGAAAATACTGATAAGCAAAGTGAAGAAAATGAAAAAAGCAACTGTACCCCACCACCAAGAGAAAACTATTCAGCGTTTGGCATATCCTTCACCTTTGTCCATATGCGCACATGTGTGTGTGTACACGGGCTTTCTCCATAAAAACAGGGCCACAGAAAAATATTCTTTGGTAACACGGTTTTAAGTGTAAAAGCTGTACTTCATGACATTTCATGAAACAATATTTTACAACACTAGTTTAAGGGCCACATAATAGTCTATTAAAGAACACTAATCTTGTACCCTTGGACAGATGGTTCAGTTGTTTAATAAAATGGTTTGATCTGGCCTTTCTCCCAGTATTATTTTGAATTAATATATACTAGTATATACACTAGTTCAGAACTGTGATATGCCACTTAAAATAATTTGTTTTATTTGGGGAGAAGGGGTGGTGGTAACATTCTTACCAGAGAAATAATCCTATTTTCCTTTAAGAAGTATAGGTTGTTGGGATTTTCGTTTTTTGGTTGTAAAAGCAATACATGAATTTGCAGGGTAGGCAAACACACAGTATTACAAAGAGTAATAAGTAACAATTCCCATCTTTCTTCAACCCCATTTCACTGCCTAGAACTGACTACTGGTAATAGCTTGGCATCTCTGTCTTCCAAACATTCATAAGGCTATTTTAAATACATGGAAAAATCCTCACACAGCCACCTATCTTAGGTACATATGTAGGTATACAAACATGCACGTATACCTATATACAATGTACATGTACAGTGTATATAATATAAATACAAATAATGAGGATTTCTTTTTTTAACGCTTTTGTCCATCTCCCTGGAATCAGAATAGCTAATAGAAGCACCACTGATTCCTGCAGAACATCAAAAATTCACATGCTGACTTAGACTGCCCAGCATAATGTCTGAGATGGCTCCTGAGAGGCAGCTGGGAATAAATATACCCTCCCCTACTCACCATCCATGGTTGTGTCCTCAATATGTGAACATTCTTGGCCTTTATTTAAACAACCTACTATGGATTCTTTTTCAATCAATTCCAAATACTTTGCAGTTGCCACTTCTAGCTATAACCGTCTTCAAGTATCAAATCTGTGGTATTTATGGATAAAGTTCTATAGAATGTCCTTTTCCATGCAATTACCTCCTAGAAGCCCAGCTCCTGTTCTGACATTCTAAGATGGGTCTGCAAACTCTGGCCTAGCCCCTGTTTTTGTAAATAAAGTTTTATTGGAACCCAGCTGTGCCCATTCATTTGCATACTGTCTCTGGTTGTTTTCACACTACAATAGCAGAGCTGAATAGCTACAACTATTGTTAAGCCCACAAAGCCTAAAGAAAAGTTTGCTGATTCATGTTCTAGGATATGGTAAAAAAAAATCAGACTTTTTTCCCTATCCAAAGTTCTGGAGGAATTGAATCACATACCCCATATTCAATGTCTTTGTCCAGGCTAGAGAGTTTATTTTTTTGTTATTATTATTTTTAAAGATATTTATTTATTTGAGAGAGAAGGTGTGTACAAGTGGGGGGGGGGAGGTTGAGGGAGAGGGAGAAGCAGGCTCCCTGCTGAGCCAGAAGCGCAAGGAAGGACTCCAATCCCAGGACCTAGAGACCATATAAGTCAGAGGTTTAACTGACTGAGCCACCCCAGCACACCTAAAGAGTTTATTTTTTAAAAAAACAGGTGACCCTTGAACAACAGGGGTTTGAACTGCACGGGTCCACCTATCTAAAAATAGTTTTCAATAAAGTACAGTAAAGTAAATGTATTTTCCTTATGATTTTCTTCACATTTTATTTTCTCTAGCTTTATTAGAAGAATGCAGCATACACATATAATATACAAAACGTGCACTAGTTGTTTATATTTTTGGTAAGGCTTCTGATCAGCAGTAGGCTATCAGCAGTTAAGTTCTGGGGGAAATCAAAAGTTGTACTTGGATTTTCTACTGTGCAGGCGGTCAGTATCCCTAACCTTCAGGTTGTTCAAAGGTAAACTATACAAACACAAAGCACCCTGGCTCTGACAGTAACAATGATGTGGTGGTAAATGTTTAACCACTTGCTCTCTGGGGTGGGGGAGCCCTGGATTATACACCATTTGCTGATTTCCATGGCATGAATAGTCCCATAATGGTTAACTTCAAGCTAAAAAAATGTGATTCCATTGAACATGGAGTTGGGAAGAGAGGCACACAAATGCTAGTGCAAAGTTGTTCAGTAAACCACTGGCTCCTTGGGACATCAGTGGCCCAAACACCTACTTTAAAGATGAAGACACCGAGGCCCAGATAAGTGTCTTGCCCAAGACTGTCCCTGTGACTGGACTCAGGCTGGAGCTCCTTTCCAGTAGTCTGGCTGCCCCCCAGGGAGTCACTTCCTCTGTAAAAGGAAAAACAGAAGAAAGAAGGCATAGGAAGTTCTTTGCTAAGCACATGGTAATAAATGTTGATTTTATCATTATCTTCACGGTTTGGGACTGTGTCTTTCTCAGCATGTGCTTTGAAGAACATGTCTGGTAGGGGTAGTGTTCTTTGCACAGGACCAGGTCTCACGTGAACACTCAACAGTGGACTGTCTTCATTAACCAGCAGGCACCTAAGCTACCAGACTATAAACTCCAGAAGGAAAGGGACTTGCTTCTGTTTGTGCTCACTACTTTCCCCCAGTATCCAATACAGAACTGGGCGCTTGGTAGACCGTCAATAAATATGTACTGAAGGGATAAAGGAATGAGATCCCACCATCAAAGTGGAGCTTTACTCCAAGAACACAGCAGGTGTGCAAAGGTTACATCCCATTCCCTTCTCACATCTGTGGCCAGGGCAGCAACAGATGCATGTGTTTGCAATATTTCTCAACAATCAGCTCCAGCCCAAGCTGCTTCAGCAGGACAGGAGAGGCTCTGTGGATGCAGGAGCAAAAGGGAGGACCAAGTTAGGGAATCATTCTCCTCTGGTATATATATGTATGTAATTTCTATCTGGAACTTGTTTTAACAAAGCATGAAGCCAAGAATATAAACCAGTGAGGGATCCCACTTATCACACTCCAGGATGAAGAACATTGCTTTCTGGTAGGGCCTGAGGCAGGGCTACTCCAAGTGGTACACTTCTAATACTGGAAAGTGAAAGAGCACCAAGATTGGGGAATCCTAATAGCCCAATAAACTCAAGGCAACCCAAGTACAAACAGCAATGAACCCGCAGGAAAGGGAAGCAATGATCTTTTGGAAATGACTTTTTGACTACTTGGTAACTCTTGCACAAAACCCTACACACTTGGCATGGTACTCCTGGTTACTCCTCTGAACCCACAGGTCCTGTTTGCCACATCACTGCCGCCTCAATCCGGGTGCACAGATAGATCAACTCTGTGGGCATAGAAACTACTGAAGCCATCTGTGAGCCTTGCTGAGTTTTCAGAAGACCACTGGGGCTCATCATCTCTCATGGAGGGGACCTAGTACATAGTTTCCAAGGCAAGATCAAGCTTGGCTCCAAATTCCAGAGGCTAACATTGTCCATGCATAGGGCGGTATGTGTTTCCATTTAGAGCAAGCATCCCAAACAAGAACCAGGGCCAATGACTTAAGTCTCCAAAGCATTTCCTACACCAGTAGTTTCCAAAGTGTGGTGCAGGAACCCTAGATATCCACAAGGTCAAAACAACTTTCCTAATAATACCAAGATGCAATTTGCCTTTTTCCCTGTCACCTGTCCAGAAGTATACAGTGGATACTTCTGATGTGTGTACATGATGTGATATTGCAAGACTTGAACGCAGATATAAGAATCCAGCTGCCTTCTGTTAAAACTGACATTAAAGAGACTTGCAAAAATATAAAACAAGGCCCCCTCTCCTCGCTAACACCGTTTTGGAAAATATGGATATTTTCATAAAATGTTCATATATAGTAAGTCCGCTATCTAAAAAATGATTAAATATAGTAAAATTCTGATTTATATATATATATATATATATAAATTTCCTTTTTTAAAGATCTTATTTATTTATTTATTTATTCATGAGAGACACACAGAGAGAGGCAGAGACACAGGCAGAGGGAGAAGCAGGCTCCATGCAGGGAGCCCGGTGCGGGATTCGATCCCACGACTCTGTGGGACGAAGGCAGGCGCTCAACCGCTGAGCCACCCAGGGGTCCCTATACGGTAAGTCCAAAAAAACATAACCCGCATAAACAAAAGCTCCTTGGTATGTGAATCTTCAAGCGTGCAAAGGGGTTGCTGAGCCCCCAAAAGTTTGAGAACTGCTGTCCTAAAGGCTGAGAGGAGGGTTACGGGCGTTGCAGAACGACGCGCCACTCTGGGGTCTGGCTGAATTAGGCAAGGCAGCCCGTGCCCCTTCCGGGATCTCTGCCCCCCCCCAACGGCCCCCGACCACCGGCGCGGACTCCCCGGCCTGCGGGCCCTGGGCGCGTGTCCCTCTCCCGCCCGCCCGCGCGCGGGGGCAGCCCCCGGTGGGGTCAGGACTCGCCGGTGCGGCCGGGAGCCCGGGAGCCCGGGAGCGGGCTCGGGGAGGCCCCACGCCTCGGCGGGGACTCTGGGCACGCACGGTGAAGGCAGAGGGACGAGGAGAGCCATTTCCAGTCCCTGCGCCCTGTCGCCCGCGCGGCACAGGCAGCGGCGGGGCGGAGGGGTCAGTGCCCGGGAGGCGGCTCCTCGGATCTCGCCGGGGCCTTCCCCGGCCTCTCGCCGGCCCCGGGCCCCCGCGCACCGCGGTCCCGCAGGGGAAGGAGCTCGCGGAGGAGGCCGGCGCCGACTGCCCCGGGCCAAGGCATCTGCCGGGCGGGTACTCACCCCGAAGGCACAGCCGCGGCTCGCGGGCGGGCGGGCGGGCGGGCGCCGAGTGCGGGGCGCGCTCCAGTCGCCGCGCGGGTGCAGGGGCCGCCGCCTCCGCGCCCCTCCCCCTCGTCCCCGGGGCCGCGGCCGGTGGGCGGAGCAGGGGCGGGGCGGGGCGGGGCGGGGCGGGGCGGGGCGCGCCGGGCCGGGCGCCGCGGGGCCGCGGCCGAGGGGCGGGGCGGAGTCTGTCCCGGGTGCCCCCGCCCCCCGGCCCGAGCGCCCTCGCCTGGGCCCGGGGCGGGGGGGAGGGGGGGGCGGGGAGGCGGCGGCCAAGGGCTCGGCGGCAGGAAGCGGACGCTCGGCGGCTCCCGCCCTCGGCTCTGCGGGCCCACGGCGGGCGCGGGTGAAGGGTGCCCGCTGTGAAGGGTGTGACTGCCCGGCCCGTGCTAGGAGGTGCGCCGAAGGGGTGGGGAACAAATGCAGTCGTTGTTCCTTTTTGCTTTTTTTATTTTTTAAATATAGATTTTATTTATTTATTCATGAGAGACACACACAGAGAGAGGCGCACGGACACAGGCAGCGGGAGAAGCAGGCTCCATGCAGGGAGCCCGACGCGGGACTCGAACCTGGGACCCCAGGATCGCGCCCCGGGCCGAAGGCGGCGCTAAACCGCGCAGCCACCCGAGCTGTCCTTTTTTGCTTTTTTTTTTTTTTTAATTATTGATAGTCACAGAGAGAGAGAGAGAGAGAGAGAGAGGCAGAGACACAGGCAGAGGGAGAAGCAGGCTCCATGCACCGGGAGCCCGACGTGGGACTCGATCCCGGGTCTCCAGGATCGCGCACTGAGCCAAAGGCAGGCGCCAAACCGCTGCGCCACCCAGGGATCCCCCTTTTTCGCTTTTAAAAATGATCTGGCCTCTGGGTGGCGGGCACTGAGGGGGGCACTTGATGGGATGAGCACTGAGTGATATGCTACATATTGGCAAATTGAACTCCAATTAAAAAATAATAATAAAATAAAATATAAATCTGGCCCTAAAGGTAGAAGCTTCATTCTTCGGCTGCTCCCGTTCGTGCGGTCACATTGCCCCTCTCTACCCACCGCCTTGTGCCCCCTTCCGTCCCCTTGTATCCACCTCCAACCCCTACCCTGCCTTCATTCTTTGCAAAACGTGCCACATGGGTGTCATCGGAATCAGGCTGACATAATAAGACTTCGGCGTTTCCATGGTTATGAATGCAAAGTCTCTAATGTAAAAAAAAAAAAAAAATTTTAACGTGTGACAACATTTTATAATGCAGGCTGTTCACCGGTGGAAAATCAGAGAAATGAATGAGAGTTGACACTGAGTGGGCCTTCTTCACAATACCTGCTTTTGACTGCTTGGTTGGAGTTGCAGTCTTCTTAAGCCAATGTGAGTAGAAAGAAGTGATTAGATCTTTCTAGATCAAGAGTGGTGGGATTTTCCTGCCAACTTATATGGAAAGTTATGGTGTTTTTCTATCCTGAGCATCTGAATAAAGCTTATAGGATGAATAGCTAATAGCTAATACCAGTGCTCACTGCTACCAGTTAGTTACTATTCTGCTCCTCTCTGTAGGATCCTATGGTTGAATCCTTACCTGTCTTTTTTTTTTTTTTTAAGGATCCTATTTATTCATTCATGAGAGACACACACACACACACACAGAGAGAGAGAGAGAGAGAGAGAGAGAGAGGCAGAGACACAGGCAGAGGGAGAAGCGGGCTTCATGCAGGAAGCCCAATGTGGGATTAGATCCCAGAGCCGGGGATCACACCCAGAGCCAAAGGCAGACGCTCAACCTCTGAGCCACCCAGGCGTCCCCTTACCTGTCTTATTTAATTCAACTCTTTCATCTGTCCTGTGAAGTGAAAAATATTACCGCATTTTGCAGATATGAAATGCCCCACAGCTGGGGTTCAGTCCTCATGCCTGTATCCCGAGGCTATACTTTCCTCTTCATGTTATGCAGCTATCCCAATTTTATTTAATTTTTAAATATAAAGGATTATATTCAAATCTGAAAAATGATGAGAAGACTTTTTCCCCACATACTTCCTAAATTCACATTCATTCATTCTTCTTATGCGCATTCATTGAACAAACTTTCCTTGAGTGTCTACCACATGCCAGAAGTTCACCACAAACTCTGAAAAATAATAGTAGAGTTCCCTTGGAAGTTAGGGATAATATTCAATGATAACAGACATACAATATGGTAATTGGTAATTCTTGACAGAAAATGATGAAATCAAAACTCTAAAGGGAATTGGAATTAGTAAACACTGTCTGAGGGTAAGGACTCATATGAATCCCAGTGTTCCACCTCACAACTGAAGACCAAAGAAAGACCACTCAGAAGCAGTGGAGGTCACCAAGGGCTAACAAGAGTCTGGAATAAAAGGAGAAAGTCACAGGGACAGCTCTCAGCTCAAAGCAAGGAAGAGCTTTATCACCTTCCCAGGAGGCCTCATGGCTAGTGAGGGGGTGGGGGTGTGCGTCCATTAGCAAGATGTGTTTAGATTCCTCAGACTCAGGGGAGATTCCACTCCTGACTTAATGAATCAACATTCTAGGTGGTAGGGGACACAGGAGGTATCGTAAAAGCCTAAAAGAAGTTATTTTTTGGGTCTGGGAACACTTCAAAGTTTTTCCACTGAAGTTAATGGTAATTGCTTCTTTGCTTTCTGCCTTTTGGGTTTCATAGGATCACTCTGCTTTTGGAGAGCAGGAAATACCTGTAGTACCCACGTCACTTGGCTCTGTTGCCCTCAGGAAAGTCACCAGTGACCTGCAGATTGCAAATCCACTGGCCTGTCTTCTGTTCTTGTCCTCACTGACTGCTCTATGTTATTTGACCCTGGTGACTAGTCTTTCCTTGAAATTGTAACGATCTTTTGGCTTTAGAGCCTGTGGCTCTCATGATCACGTCTTCTGTCTTTGTTCCCTCTTTCATAGGTTCTTTCACTGCACTCTTTCTCCTCTTGCTTTACATATATGACTTCATATACTGCTAAGTTTTTCTTCAGTTATTTTCTCTTTATGCAAACTCTGTGCCACCTCTCACATTCTGCTACGTGTCTGTTGCTGTCTTAACCCTCTTCAGATCTCCACATGCTTTATTGCCAGCCATTTGTGGAGTATCACCACTTGGATATTCCAAAGGCATCTGCCATTCTTCACATCTAAAATGGGAATTTAGGGCAGCCCAGGTGACTTAGTGGTTTAGCGCCACCTTTGGCCCAGGGTGTGATCCTGGAGACCCAGGATCGAGTCCTGCGTCGTGCTCCCTACATGGAGCCTGCTTCTCTCTCTGCCTCTCTCTCTCTCTCTCTCTTTCTCTCTCTCTCTGTGTCTCTCATGAATGAATAAATAAAATCTTAAAAATATAAAAAATAATAAAATGGGAATTTAGTGGGATGCTTGGGTGGCTCAGAGGTTGAGGACCTGCCTTTGGCTCAGGGCATGATCCTGGTGTCCTGGGATTGAGTCCTGAGATCAAGTCCCACATTGGCCTCCCTTCAGGGAGCCTGATTCTCCCTCTGCCTATGTCCCCGCCTCTCTCTGTGTGTGTCTCTCATGAATAAATAAATAAAATATTTTAAAAATATATAAAATGGGAATTTAGTGTCTTCTCTTACCATCAATCTGTCTCCTCTTTCCCATCGAGCTTCTTCCTCATTCTGAATTTCACTTCTTGAATTTGGATCTCATGGTGCATTGAGAAAGCTAAACATATAAGGGATGTAGAACCATATCACTGCTTATATCTGTCATGGCACAAAAGACTCTGCAAGTGGCCTAGAGGAGTATGTATACTTTATATACCTTCTGAGAATAAGTCATCCAGATGTGGAGCTGCTCAGGCAGCACAGATCACTCCAGGGGCTAGTGGCAGAAGGGCGCTCAGTTGATTCTAACTTACTGTGACTTTCTTCCTGCCCCCTACTCTACTACCCTTCGTTCCATGTTCTAAAGCCTGGCACGGAGGGGCAACATTGTTTGGTAATGAATGAAGTATTACGTGATCCTTCCTGAGATTCTTGTTTTAGGGAACTCTAGAATACCTGTGCTCATCAGTGAAAGCATGTCTTCCTCAGACTAGAGGAAGTTTGAAATAACTGTTTTCCATTCCTTTAAAATATGCTGTATTCATAATAAAGACAGTGCTTAGCCTCATTTTGGCCCCCCACAAATATCTGACTTCCACCCCCCCTTCTGCACCTGTCATATACTTAATTTTTGTGTTCTCTTTCTTACCGCCTCCCTCAGTGCCTGACTCCTTGAGCTGCCTTCCCAAGGAACCAGGAACAGCTGGCCATCTGCTTTATGGTTAAACACCATCCCCCTCAACGTAACTAGTGATAAAAGCCAAATGTGATCAAATGTTCCATTGAATCTTCACAGCAACCGTTTGAGGCTCGTGACATTGTTACCATTTCACAGATAAGGAAACTGAGATTCAGAGGATTTTTATAACTTACTTCAGGTCACATAACTGGCAAATTGTGATGCTGGAGTTTGAACAAAGGCTGGTTAAATTCCAGAGCTTGTGCTTTCAACCTCCAGGCAATGAATTATAACTTTATATGAGATCATCAGATGCTCTGAAGTTATAAATTATTTTTTGCAGAAAAGAAGAGGAACTTCAGTGATCTAGGAGGGAACTTTGATCCAACACCATATAGTTTAGAATGCCTTATTCATTTGTTTTCAGGGCTTCTTCTCCCTAATTATAGTACAAAGATCCCTGATGTAGCCCTATAGTTTAGTGCAGGAAGGAAAAATGCTGCCCCTTCTGGGGGATGGAAATGTTAAAAGTCAGGAGCAGTAATATTATTCTGAGGCTGCTGCTACTGACTTATTTAATTTTTTTCAAGAAAATTATTTGCTGGGACTCCTGGGTGGCTCAGTGGTTGAACATCTGCCTTTGGCTCGGGGCGTAATCCCCGAGTCCCAGGATCGAGTCCCACGTCAGGCTCCCTGCATGGAGCTTCTCCCTCTGCCTCTGTCTCTGTCTCTGTCTCTCTGTGTCTCTCATGAATAAGTGAATAAAAATCTTAAAA